GAAAAATCGACCAGGCCCGTTTGATATCCAACAACTGCTCAACAACAGTCGGGCAAGTGAGGAATGCTGGGGAGAACCATAAAAGTTTGTTGGCTAGGTAAGCGTCCTGTAGTATGAGGAGTAGTTATGAACCCTATATACCATCTCCATGGGGGTGGTGAAGGGAGAGCCCCAATTGGTAGAAAAAATCCACGACCCCCTAGGGTTATCCTGCACTTGGAAGCAGAAGTTAGAAAAAGAAATAAATATAGTGATAATTTAATTTTTTGTCACCATAGTAAATAGGCGAGAAAATAGAATTTCTTTCTTTGTCTTAGAAAAAAAAATTAAAAAAAATAGGAGGAAGTTGTGGTACGTTCACTAGAAAAAATCCTTTTGTAGTCAATCATTTATTAAGAAAAATTGATAAGCTTAATAAAAAAGCAAAAAAAGAAATAATAGTAACTTGGTCCCGAGCATCTACCATTATACCCACAATGATTGGCCATACAATTGCTATTCGTAATGGTAAGGACCATTTGCCTATTTATATAACAGATCGTATGTTTGGACAAAAATTGGGAGAATTTGTACCTACTTTAAATTTCCGAGGACATGCAAAAAGCAAAAATAGATCTCGGCGTTAATCTTTTTTTAAAAAAATATATATTATAGATAAATACTTATGATTCATTAATATGAGGTTCACCCTATGCAAAAGAAGAAAAAAAATAGAAGTATACGCTTTAGGTCGACATATGTCTCTATCGACTGACAAAGCGAGAAGAGTAATTGATCAAATTCGTGGATGCTCCTATGAGGAAACACTTATGATACTAGAACTCATGCCCTGTAGAGCATGTTATCCCATTTTTAAATTGGTTTACTCTGCAGCAGCAAATGCTAGTTACAATATGGGTTCCAACGAAGCCAATTTAGTCATTAGGAAGGCCGAACTTAATGAGGGTACTACCCTGAAGAAATTCAAACCTCGAGCTCGAGGACGTAGTTATCCGATAAAAAGACCTACATGTCATATAACTATTGGAGTGAAAGATATATCTTTACATGATGAATATGAACAGATATATTTATTAAAAAAACTAGATGAAAAAATAAGTATACAACTATGGTATATCATGATATGTATAGTATTGGGGGAGTATGGGACAAAAAATAAATCCACTTGGTTTCAGACTTGGTACAACCCAAGGTCATCATTCCCTTTGGTTTGCACAACCAAAAAATTATTCTGAGGGTTTACAAGAAGATAAAAAAATAAGAGATTTTATAAAAAATTATATACAAAAGAATATGAGAATATCCTCTGGCGTCGAGGGAATTGCACATATAGAAATTCAAAAAAGAATTGATTTGATCCAGGTCATAATCTTTATGGGATTCCCAAAGTTATTAATAGAAAATAGACCGCGAGGAATCCAAGAATTACAGATTAATCTAGAAAAAGAATTTAATTATGTGAACCAAAAACTTAACGTTGCTATCACAAGAATTGCAAAACCTTATGGAAACCCTAATATTCTTGCAGAATTTATAGCCAGACAATTAAAGAATAGAGTTTCATTTCGAAAAGCAATGAAAATAGCTATTGAATTAACTGAACAAGTAAATACAAAAGGAATTCAAGTACAAATTGCAGGACGTATCAACGAAAAAAAATTGCACGTGTCGAATGGATCAGAGAAGGTAGGGTTCCCCTACAAACCATTCGAGCTAAAATTGATTATTGTTCCTATACAACTCGAACTATCTATGGGTCTTTGGTATCAAAATTTGGATATTTATAGACGAAGAATAAGAAACCTTTACTTGTCTTTCCCTTCTATCCATTGATAGAAAAAAAATGGAAACTCGTTCATTCTTTTTCTGGTGAATCAAAATGAGCAATTCTAATTCTCAATTCTATAGGGTTGAATAAAAATTCAGTTGACCATTTGATATAATTGTTATGCTTAGGGTGTGACTCGTTGGTTTTTTAGGGTTAGGATTAAAAAAGGACCAACCCCGTAGTATGAACTAATAACCAACTCATCACTTTGTATTATAGTATGAACTAATAACCAACTCATCACTTCGTATTATCTGGATATAAAGAACCAGTCAAGATATGATAAATCAGTCATATCTTTTAGCAACTGATTTTATTTTTTTTTTGCATAAACTTTAATTAGAAGTTGTAAAAAAAATTAAAGAAGTAAAGATGTGGATAAATGGGAGGATGAGAGAAAGAGTGAAAAAGAATATCAATGATATTGAATTCCAATACGTAAGGTCTACGAGTCATCTCATAAAAGACAGTGTAATAAAGCATCAATACTAATTGATTCATCCATAATTAAATATTAAATGAATCAAGAAAAATAAATAAAGAGCTTGGAGCCAATGAAGACTAAGAAGATTGACACAAGAACAAATTGGATTATGAGCTTCATTGTCGAATTCAGACCTAATCATTAAGTATTAATCGATGGGAACGATGGAACCTGTGCATGCAAAAGATTTTATTGAAAAAATGAATCTTAATGATCACTAGTCGAGATGGCGAAATGAACCAGAGATTAATTCATCTATTGGGAGAAGTCACGAACGAGCCTTACAAATGAAATAGAGATTGAAAGAGTAAATATTCGCCCGCAAAAACTATTTTTTTTAGTTGCTAAACTTGGATAAAGGACAAAACAAAATAAAGATTTTTTAGAATGTTCTAAAAAAAAACTATTTTTTTAAAAAAAATGTTAATCATTTCAATTAAATGTTTTTAATCCTTTTATTCGTATGGAGCTGGAAGAGAAGAAAATCTCACGTCCGGTTCTGTAGTAGAGATGGAATTGTGAAAACACCATCAACTATAACCCCAAAAGGACTAGATTCCGTAAACAACATAGAGGAAGAATGAAGGGAATATCTTATTGAGGTAATCATATTTGTTTCGGTAAATATGCTCTTCAGGCACTTGAACCTGCTTGGATCACATCTAGACAAATCGAAGCAAGTAGACGAGCAATGACATGAAATGCACACCGTGGTGGAAAAATATGGGTCCGTATATTTCCAGACAAATCGGTTACAGTAAAGCCCGCTGAAACACGTATGGGTTCGGGAAAGGGATCCCCTGAATATTGGGTAGCTGTTGTTAAACCAGGTCGAATACTATATGAAATGGGTGGAGTAACCAAAAATATAGCTGGGGAGTAACCGAAAATATAGCTAGAAGGGCTATTTCAATAGCAGCATCCAAAATGCCTATACGAACTCAATTCATTATTTCAGGATAAAAATGTAGAACCAACAGAAATGAATCTTAGGGATGAAAGTTTCTTTTTTTGGACAAAAAATATTCCTTTTTTTTCCTTCATCCTTTGCATTGGAAGAATAGACTAAAAAATTGATATGATTCAACCTCGGAGCCATTTAAATGTAGCAGATAACAACGGGACTTGAAAATTGATGTGTATTCGAATCATATGAGCTAGCAATCGTCAATATGCTCATATTGGTGACGTTATTGTTGCTGTGATCAAAGAAGCAATACAAATAAGCCCCTAGAAAAATTAGAAGTAGTCAGAGCTGTAATTGTTCGTACCTGTAAAGAACTTAAACGTGACAGCGGTATGATAATACGATATGATGACAATGCTGCAGTTGTGATTGATCAAGAAGGAAATCCAAAAGGAAATAGAATTTTTGGTGTGATCCCCCGGGAATTGAGACAATTAAATTTTACTAAAATAGTTTCATTAGCTCTCGAGGTATTAGAAAATGAGATCACTCATATGTTTATAATGGGTTTTTGAAAGAAATAGATTAAGAACTAGATTAATTAGTAGATTGTGTCTCACGAATATACCTTTAATAATTCATATTCATAAAATAAATTAAGTAAAAAAAGGAAAAACATGTTGATTATATCCAATTTAAGGGCACCCATAATTTTAGTTCACCATGGGTAGGGACACTATTACAGAGATAATAACTCTATATGAAATGCTGATATGGATAGAAAAAGAGTGGTTCGCATCGCATGTACTAATATTATGGAAAATATTGAGAAAATACTTTTCTGAGAAGGTTTTATTGAAAATGTTAGAAAACATCGAGAAAAAAATAAATCTTTTTTGGTGTTGAACCTGCGGCATAGAAGGAAAAGGAAAAGACTCTATAGAAATTTTTTAAATTTAAAATGGATCAGTCGACCTGATCTACGAATCTATTCTAACTCTCAACGAATCCCTAGAATTTCAGGTGGGATGGGGATTGTAATTCTTTCTACTTCTCGAGGTATAATGACAGACCGAGAGGCTCGACTCGAAGGAATCGGTGGAGAAATTTTGTGTTATATATGGTAATCCTTTTAATATTCAAATTGGATCCGAAACTTCTTCCTATTTCTAAAAAAAAAAAAGGGACAAGTTGTCTAATATCGTTCCTCCTCCATTAGTTAATACTTTAAGGAGGCTTTACCTGGAATGAAAGAACAAAAATGGATTCATGAAGGTTTAATTATTGAATCGCTTGCCAATGGTATGTTCCGAGTTCGGTTAGATAATGAAGATTTGATCCTGGGTTATGTTTCAGGAAAGATTCGGTGTAGTTTTATATGGATACTGCCAGGAAATAGAGTCAAAATTGAAGTAAGCCGCTATAATTCAACCAGAGGATGTATAATTTATCGACTTCGCAACAAGGATTGGAAGGATTAAGTGGTTTTTATTCAATATGATTCGAGATGAAAAATTGCAAGAAACTTATTTTCTTCCAAAAAGTAGATTCAAAATTAAGATAAGGAATGACAAATATGAAAATAAGAGCTTCTGTTCGTAAAATTTGTGAAAAATGTCGCCTAATCCATAGGCAGTAGTAATTTATTCCAATCCGAGACATAAACAAAGACAAAGATAATCAGACTCACTAAAGGACTCGATGTAAAAATAAGGAATCTATTTTGACATGAAATGGATATATCCATATATCTCTGACTCATCTTTCTGAGATGATAAAATATGGCAAAAGCTATACCGAGAATTGGTTCACATAGAAATGGACATATTGGTTCATGTAAGAGTGCACGTAGAATACCAAAGGGGGTTATTCATGTTCAAGCAAGTTTCAATAATACCATTGTCACGATTACATATGTACGGGGTCAGGTGGTTTCTTGGTCCTTAGTGGATGCTTGTCAAATCAAGGATACGAGAAGAGGGACACCCTTTGTCGCTCAAACTGCAGTAGCAAATGCTATTCGTACAGTAGTAGATCAAGGTATGCAACGAGCATAAGTCATGATAAAAGGTCCCAGTCTCGAAAGAGACGCGGCATTACGAACTATTTGTAGAAGTGGTATACTATTAACTTTCGTACGGGATGTAACCCCTATGCCACATAATGGTTGCAGACCCCCGAAAAAAAGATGTGTGTAGAAATAAACATTGAAGAAATTTAAGAAAAACAAGAGAAATAAATGATTAAATCAAATCAAATAATATTACTATGGTTTGAGAGAAAGTAATAGTATCTACTCGGACATTATAGTGGAAGTGTGTTGAATCAAGAGAAGATAGTAAACGTCTTTATTATGGATGCTTTATTCTGTCTCCACTTATGAAAGGTCAAGCCGACACAATAGGCATTGCGATACGAAGAGCTTTACTTGGAGAAATAGAAGGAACATGTATCACATGTGTAAAATATGAGAACGTCCCACATGAATATTCTACCATAGCGGGTATTCAAGAATCGGTCCATGAAATTTTAATGGATTTACAAGAAATTGTATTGAGAAGTAATCTATATGGAACTTGTGATGCGTCTATTTGTGTCAGAGGTCCAGGATATGTAACTGCTCAAGATATCATCTTACCACCTTATGTAGAAATCGTTGTACATAACATATAGGTAGCTTGACAGAACCAATTGATTTGTGTATTGGATTACAAATCAAGAGAAATCGCGGATATCTTATCAAAATGCCACATAGCTTTCAAGATGGAAGTTATCCTATAGATGTTGTATTCATGCATGTTCGAAATGTGAATCATAGTATTCATTCTTATTGGAATGGGAATGAAAAACAAGAGATACTGTTTCTCAAAATATGGACAAATGAGAGTTTAACTCCGAAAGAAGCACTTCATGAAGCCTGCCGAAATTTGATTGATTGATTTATTCCCTTTTTACATAAGGAAGAAGAAAACTTACCTTTAGAGGACAATCAACACACGGTTCCTTTATCCCCTCTTACCTTTCACGATAAATTGGATAAACCTAGGAAAAAATTAGCATTGAAATCGATTTTTATTGACCAATCAGAATTCTCTCCCAGGGTCTATAATTGCCGTAAAAGGTCCAATATATATATACATTATTGGACTTTTTGAATAATAGTCCGGAAGATCTCATGAAAATTGAACATTTGCGCCTAGAAGATATAAAACAAATATTGGTCATTTTAGAAAAACATTTCACAATTGATTTACCAAAAAAGAAGTTTTAAATCTATTGGATTTTTTTCGACTTTTTATTTTCATTAAGATGAAAATAGGTTTTGAATCTTTAGCACAATTCATATATTCGAAAGAAATTCAGAATTGAATAGATATATCTAGGGAAAATTTGCTTTCAAACGACTATTCCCTAGATACACACATCGTGTTATTTCACAATTGAATCAAATTAAAAAAGACCTAAAGTTAGGGATTTATCAATAGGTAATGTTGCACCAATACCCAACCAAAGAGCGACTGCAGTACCAATCAAAAATACGGTTGTCGCTACTGGACGACGAAATGAATTTTGGAATTTATTAACATTCTCTAAAAAGGGTATTGTTAATAATCCCGCTGGTACTAAAACCATTAAAAGAATACCCAATAATTTATTGGGCATTGTTCGAAGTATTTGAAATACGGGAAAGAGATACCATTCAGGTAATATTTCCAAAGGGGTTGCAAACGGATTTGTCGGTTCACCAATCATTGATGGTTTTAGAACCGCTAAGCCTACATTACATGCAATAGTACCTAGAACTACTACTAGAAAAATATATAAAAGATCATTGGACCATGCGGGTTCTCCGTAATAAGTATGACCCATGCCTTTAGCCACTTTAGTTCTTAATACAGGATCATTCAAATCAGGTTTTTTTGTTATTGGGATAGGTGAATTCTTATAGATCCATCCCCCGAAGGAACCGGACATGATAATTTTTTATCATCAGGCTCGAGAAAGATTCAAAAGAACCAAACGAATCCATAAAAAATCTATATGTTGCCTATAGACATATATATGATATACACATTATGAATGATTCATTGTAAGAAAAATTTGACTCTTTTTCCGGAATTACAACTACCCATTTCAAAAAATTCGACTCTAAGTAAAGACTCAATACCCAAGTTGGCTTAAAAAGTTGATCATGAAATGATCCAGTGCTTTCTGGGTCGTCTCAGACCTTAGGATTGGTATTTATCTCCAAAATATTTGGAGATATACACACAAAAGTTTTACTTGTTACTAATCTAGTCTAGCCTATGTTTTTCTTTAAATCCCCTGTTTCAACCTCCGATAGTATTATCGATCATATCAATGCAGAGGAAATAAATGCATTTCCATACTATTCAATTTTAAGTATTAAGTAAGTGAAATAGATGAAGATTCTGTTTTAGTTTATCCATTTCACTTATTATAATTATACTGGATCTTACGGAGCCTACTCATGTACAGCATGATTCGGTCAAGTCATAGAAAAGAATCTCTTCAAGTGAACCAGCCTATCTTCTGTATAGGGCTTACGTGACGATTGGAACAAAGACACATTTGGTTGTGAATTCCAATGTGGCAGACATATATCTACACAGACCAATCAATAGTTCAAGTCACACACTCCCATAATCCATTTTCTCTTCGTAGAATTCCCTTCAACTCTACATTTATTTGACATGATTGGTTGAAGGGAAATATCCAAATACATGGATTATTATTTTCAATAATCCATATTTGTAGCAATGAAATACTATTATTCCTCTTCTAAGTGATAAATGATTGATTACAAATATCTGTTATATATCTTCTCTATAAAGAACCAGAAATACCTTCTTTACGTATCATTGGAAAGTGCATTAACATAAATATAGCAGTAAGAAGTGGCAATACAAAAGTGTGTAAACTATAAAAACGAGTCAAAGTAGATTGTCTTGCACTAGCACTTCTGCGCAATAATTCTATCAAAGGTGATCCTATTACAGGAATAGCTTCAAGTACACATGTTACGATTTTCGCCGCCCAATAACCAATTTGGTCCCGAGGTAAGGAATAACCAGTCACACCAAAAGATGTGGTCAATACCCCCAGAACCACACCTGTAACCCAAGTCAATTCACGAGGTTTTTTTAAATCCATACACACGAAAAACATGCAGGATCATCATTAGGACCATCATACTTATGGACCATCGATGAACTGATCGAATTAACCAACCTTAGCTTCCATCACTATGTATTGAACAGAGGCAAAAGCCTCTGTAACGGTCGGACGATAGTAAAAAGTCATAGCAAACCCCGTAGCTATTTGTACTAAAAAATAAGTAAGCGTAATTCCCCCTAAACAATAAAATATATTCACATGGGGAGGAACGTATTTATTAGTTATATCATCCTCAATCGCCTGAATCTTGAGACGTTCTTCGAGCCAATCATAGACTTTATTGAGATAGGTGAAAATTCCCCTCTCAGAATCGTATATGAGACTTTTATCTCGTACAACTCAGGCAAAAACACCCAAATACTAGTTGCAACAGATATGTAATAGAAAGTTTGAAACTTCTTAATCTCTGATTCAATCTTATCTGAATGTACGAAAAAATAAAAAAATCCGAAAGCTCTTCTTTGTGGCGATAATACCAAAATATCAAGTTGGCTCAATCGTCTTTTTGTTGATCCTTACGGGTCCTTGAATTATCTCTTTAACTATTTCTTTAATCCTTACGGGTCCTTGAATTATCTCTTTAACTATTTCTTTAATTTGTTTTTGTAACTACTGTGGCTTTTTTTGTTTTCTTTATTATTGAATTGATAGGAACTATCTTGTTAAGACCCTATGAATAGATTAAAACCTCAAATTCATACTAAAACCACGATGATTCAACTAAACTAAGCCAAGGATTATCTGAGTAAGAATAGTTGGATCATCACTTATTCCATCAATAGATAGACTAAAAAAACTTTTTTTTTTAATTCTAATTCTTTGAATTTTTTGGAGTCCAGACACGAGATCAAATATTAAGTATGAATCATGGTTCAAATATTTCTTAATCTAGTTCATATATTCCGTGTTCCAGATACTAGAATAAATATCCAACGAAGTAGAAACATCTCTATCAAGATAACAGACCCATTCTCTGTACTATCAATAGGATCAATTATAGCAAGTCACACACTCATATTCCAGAAATGCAGAAAGAAATAAATCCCACGATCGAACTACCAAAATAGAATAGGCTAGAAATTCGAGCTCTAACTGATTCATTTTTTATTGAAAAGACATGACTTTGCAGTTCTTATAGATTTAATTCATTGAAATTCCATCCAATAAAATGGAAGAATTATAAATCTCCAAAATAATAGATAGAAATATCGCAAATAGAGCTATTGCGACACCCATCAAAGGCGTCGTTCCCCACCCGGGAGCTACTTTACCATATTCCGAATTCAATGGTTTTAATAAACTCCCTACAATAGTTCATCTTGGACCAGATCTAGAACTGTTCTCAACAGTTTGTGCAGCCATAAATCCTATTGTATTCAATGAGATCTGTTGACTTTGTATACCATTCCGTTGTAAATAAACGATCTTATCATAGATCCATTGGGATCTTGAAATTATATAATCATAATGGAAACAGCAACCCTAGTCGCCATCTTTATATCTGGTTTACTTGTCAGTTTTACTGGGTACGACTTATATACTACTTTTGGGCAACCTTCCTAACAATTAAGAGATCCATTCGAGGAACATGGGGACTAGTTGAAGTAATGAGCCTCCCAATATGAGGAGGCTCATTACTTCAATTGAGATAATGTAAAATCATTTCATCTTTTTAGTTTGAATTTAGGCGATTCTCAAAAAAAGATAGTGAAAAAAATTATCCCTCGAGTCGAGACTAAGAGGAATGTATAAACCAATGCTTCCATAGATTCGATCGTGGTTTACAATTATAGCTTCCATACCTGTTTGTTTTTTGGTTTATTTGGGAATCATCTCTCGTTAAAGAAAGAGCAAGAGTAAAAAAAGTAGTGATTCAAATCCACTCCGATACTCTATGTAAAATTCCTCCCAAAAAAGAAAATAGAGGCGAAAGATACCAAAGCAATCTTGTGTCAAACTACCTGTCTTCTTGTCGTTGGATCCCCAAGTTTTTGGAATGCTCCAAACTCTACTTGAGCATCCAAATCTGGGTCAATACCGACAAAAAACATCTCTGAACAAGGTTCTAGCACCATGCCAAATGTGTCCAAAGAAGAAGAGCAAAGCAAACGAAGCATGCCCAAAAGTAAACCAACCCCTTGGACTACTACGAAAAACACCATCGGATTTCAAAGCAGTGCGATCTAATTCAAAAATTTCACCCAATTGAGCGCGTTTTGCATATTTTATCACAGTAGCAGGTCACTATAACTGACTCCATTGAGTTTGCCGCTGTAAAACTCAACAGTTACACCTACTTGTTCAACACTATACAATTTTGTCACTATCTACCAAAATGACTGGAAATGTTTCAAAAAAAGTAGGCATACAATGTACAAAAAGTTCACACCCTTCTTTATCTCTAAAGATAGGGTGTCCTAACCATCCAACCGCTATTTCATCTCCGTTATCCATTGAACCTGCCCTAAATAATCCTCGTTTTGCCGGATTATTGTCGATATAATCACAAAAAGCTAATTTTTCAGGAATTTTAGACCAGGCTTCTGATAAACTTCGATTTTCTGCTAGCCCAGCACTAACTCTTCTATATATCTCTTGTTGGAAGTAACCCTGATCCCATTGATAATGAGTGGGCCCAAATAATTCGATGGGGGTAGTTGCTGAACCATACACATAGTTCCAGTAACAACAAAACAGCAAAAATGACAGTCGCGATACTCCTGGAAAGTACGGTTTCAATATTTCCCATACGTAATCCTTTGTATATACATTGTGGCGGGCGGATGCTAAGATGGAATAGACCCACTAATATGCCCAATGTCCCTGCTGCAATATGATGAGAAGCTATTCCTCTCGGAACAAAAAGATCAAAACCTTCCTTGCCTCACGCTGGATTTACAGGTTGTACTTTTCCCATTAATCCATTAGGATCAGATACCCATATTCCAGGACCATAAAAGCCTGTTACATGAAATGAACCAAAACCAAAGCAAGCCACCCCTGAGAGAAATAAATGAATTCCAAAGATCTTGGGCAAATCCAAAGAAGGTTTTCTTGTACATTCATCACAAAATATTTCTAGATCCCAATAGACCCAATGCCAGATAGCTGCCAAAAAGCATAAGCCCGAAACACAATATGCGCCCCAGCTACACCTTCGTAATTCCAAATCCCCAGATTTGTTACAGTCCCTCCTGTGATACTCCACCTCCCTATGAATTGGTTATTCCTAAACGAGTCATGAAAGGTGTAACAAACATACCCTGTCTCCACATTGGATCAAGAATAGGGTTAATAGGTTCAAAAACTCCTAATTCATACAGAACCATGAACCTGCCCAACCTGCAACCAGAGCTGTATGCATTATATGAATGGAAAGCAACTGATCGGGATCATTCAATACAACGGTATGAACACGATACCAAGGTAAACCTATGGAAAATACCTCTTTATCAAAGATAAATAGACACTACGTAACTTTATTGCATTGGAAAAGCTATACTATGACTATTCTATGCACTCCCCGTGTTCTGAAATAATCCACTGAATAATGGTTACTATTTGTTCTATTCTATTGGTAATAATGAAACAATTCCATTCGTAGGAACAAAGAGAAGCAGATTTATTATATACCTGATAAGTACCAATACGAAATGGGTGGTTGATACCATTTTCTATCAGTAAATGTGTCCTTCCTTATTCCTCATTAGAAGGCCCTATTCGTCAAAATTTTCCTTTATTTCTTCTTTTGTCTTTCTTTATGAATTTTTATAATCTATGGAAAAAATAAATAAGATAAAACCAATATTATAAAGACAAAAAAAATAATGTTGTTACGTTTCCACATCAAAATAAATTATAGTACTTAGTTCTTTTTTCTTTCAATTAATGCCTATTGGTGTTTCAAAAGTACCTTTCCGAAGTCCTAGAGAGAAAGATGCATCTTCGGTTGCCGTATAGTGCGATTTGTCAGATATATTGGGTTATATGGGATTTCCCCATTCTCTCTCCCAATCGAGATATCCTCTGTTTCGCCCAAGAAAGATAAATTGAATCATCAAAAATTTGGAACGTGAAGCACAATTAGATCCATTGTTTGGGGGGGATTCAAATTACTATTATCAATTAGAATAATTTATCGTTGGCTTGGTTGGACTAAAAAATGAAGTATCCAGGCTCCGTTTAGAAAAAAACCAAATTGGTAACATATCTATGATTACTACTTGTATCATAAATGATTCCTGTTTGGTATTTGTAAAAGGATCCTATTCGTCAAGCGAGGGAATCTCAAACTAAATACTTGGTGAAAGGTATGAAATGATTTGAAAAAAAAAAGTCATAACAAAAAGAAATGGTAATGGAAAGATTTGTCCTGTAGGTGCAAATCAAAATCGGGCGGATCTTTACCCGGAGTAGAGCATAAACCTAAAAACATGAAAGAGACCCATTCAGGAATAAGAAAATACCATCGTGATTTGGATTGAATCTGGATGAAAAATACATAAATGAGAAGTTAATTTGATAAGATTAGTGACTTTTTTCTATTATAAGGAAGAAAGAAGTTCAAATTCGTCTTTATTGAAAAATCGAAGAAAATGTCCTTTCATTAGAAGTCAGAAAAAACCTGCTCTGAAAAAAGAATGGGAACAAAGAAAGAGGACTTGAATCTAGACATTGATTCTTTTTTTTTTGCAATTATTTTTTGAACCGTATGCGTCAAAAGGTGCATGTACGGTTCCTAAGCGATACAATTTTACTTTTTCGAGAAAGATTACTTTTTTTAGGTGATAAGCGTAATTTGTGTATTTATTTATACCACATTATTAAACTTTTAAGTCGTCAAATTATTAATTTCTATTTAACTTAGATTAATTTTCTTTTGTTTTTAGTGAAGGACCCATTTGGAAGCAATTGGGAAAGAAAACGATCAATTGACCATTAAATAGAAGTTTGTGGACTAAATCTCGCCGGAATAAAAGTTGAAGGATAAAAGTCAATGAAAGAATGAAGAACTTATATTGCATGGAAGAATTGAGGACTCCAAAGCAAATATCAATCTAATTGGGCCCCTTTTTGACTAGTAGTAGGTGATTGGAATTGAATGAGAATAGGGATTCCTAGGAGCTGCCGATTGTAGTGTGTGTGTGTGTATATATATATTCTTACACATGCAGTAGAAGAAAAAGAGGAGAGAACGTGACTACAAATCCTGGGGAAAGTTACAGAAATAAAAGGGACGGCCCACGAAACAATTGGAAGGGGTTTTTGAAGAAAAACATTGGTAGTTGTTGGAGATTATTGCATGCCAACTAGTGGGAATTACAAAAGTGTTGCAGTTGCCTGGAAAAGAAAATTAATTACAATAGAATTATCGATTGTCAAGAATGTAAGAACGAAACTAGTTACGTAGTTAAGAATTAAAATAGATAATAATAGGTGGATTCGTAATCCAATACACTCTTCCCATATACATTTTAAATTCACATTTTATATGTTTTTGTAGATTAAATTAGAATAATTAAAAATAAAAATAAATCACTTTTAATTTGTTCGCTTTGAATCTAATTAAGGACTAGTGCACTCAATTAAATTTTATTCCTCGTGGGATGATACTCTAACTTACTAAATCTATTACTTGTCAACGATCCCGTACGCTTGCGGGTTTCACGCGAACAAGTTTTTGACGTTGTTGTTGGGGAATAATTTATTTAATTTGAGTTTATTAGTTATTTTTAGATTTGAAGTTTTTATTCCTTTTTGTTTAAGGCTATTCATTGAACGATCTAAATCTCTTGTTTTACTCTTTTCAAGAAATCATAGTTTATGCAAAATTCTGACGAGATCGAGCTTCTTCCAATAAATCTAGAAATCGAAAGAACTTTCAAACAGCAAAGAAGAGAGCATAGAGAAGCAAGAGATATGGCTGAAAATCAACATCAGAATCAAGCTCATAACCCTTTGCCACTACCTCAGCCGATTCAGCTAGATCAGCCGAGGGCAATAGCAAATCATGGAGAAATTTTAGTGAGAGATTTTGTAAATCCAATGCTAACACCGAATCAACCTCCGATCATCTATCCACCCTTTAGACAAGCTAACTTCCACATCCGACCAGATGTCATAAACCTTTTTCAAAATCATCAAGTCATCAGGTTCAACGGGAAAGCTAGAAAATCCACATGAACACATTCAAACTTTTACCATGCTATGTGATGTAATTAGCCACGAGGGGATGTCACGGGATGCATTTCGAATGCGTCTATTTCCTCACGCTTTGAAGAAATGTGCGAAAATATGGATGATGTCACGACCTCTTGGGAGCATTATATTGTGGAATGACATGATTCAAAAATTTACCACGAAGTTTTTTTGGCCAACTCGAGTTCATCAAATTCAGAATGAAATCCATACCTTTAAGCAGAAAGACCTTGAGAGCTATCTGGAGGCATGGGAAAGGTATAAGAACTTATTGAGGAAGTGCCCCAATCTTGACATTCCTAAACAAGCACAAATATACATCTTTTACTATGGAATACGCCAAGAATTCAAGAATATGGTAGATGCTTCAGCGGAAGGATCGATAATGACTATAAATGCGGATGATGCTTATGATCTGTATGAGAGGATAGCAAAAAATCAATCGATGTGGCCGAGCAACAGGGAAGTCCCGAGGAAAACAACTGGTATATATAATGTGGATGCAGTGATAGCATTGACAGCACAGATGGAGTCAATAACTAGAAAGATTGAGTCTTTGACCCATTCTGTGAATATAGTACAGACTCCAGCTCCAAAATGCGCAGGCTGTGGGGCAGATCACATTACTGCAAGTTGCCCTTTGGCTTCTAATCACATAGCTCAGCCAGCTGAAGTCAGTTATGTGCAAAACTATCAAGGGCAAAATGGACCTTACCCATACAACTACCATCTGAATTTGAACAAGTATCCTAACTACGCGTGGGTTGATAGTTCAGATCAAGTAAATCAGATAAGGGACAATCCACCAACAATTCAACAACAAGAAGAAAAAAGGCAATCATTGGAGGATCTACTTGTCAAGTATGTCATCAAGACTGAGACGATGATACAGAATCAACAAGCCTTTATACATAACTTAGAGAAACAAGTGGGATAGATAGCAACTACATTAGCTAACAGAGTACAAGGTACTCTACCGAGCGATACAGAAAAGAATCCAAAGGAGCAGGTATTAGCTGTTGAAGCTATAAATTATGCAACTATCGAGACACCATCAATCAAGCCTGTTATACTTGTTCAAGCTTATATGCCGCCTATCCCATTCCCTCAAAGGCTTCAAAGACAACCTAAAAATGAACAATTCTAGGCTATCACAATGAGAAGCAGAGTTTAGTTTCCAGAAATCACAGTGAAGAAGAACGGGATTGAGGGAAATCGAGTACCTACCTCGGGGGAAGAACAAGTGGGTCAGTCTAAAAAATCATCAAATGTTGATCAAGAAGAATAGTCAAACAATCTAAAGGTCAAGGCGACTGCTCTTAGCAATAAAAATACAACTTTAGTTTCATTCCCTCAAAGGTTACAGAACAATAAAACGAACAAACAATTCAAGAATTTCTTGAACACCCTCGAACAACTTCACGTCAACATTCCTTTTATTGACGCTATTCTACAAATTTCAAATTATGTTAAGTTTTTGAAGGAGATGTTGACTAATAAGAGAAAGTTACCAGAACATGAAACAATAGCACTATCTGAAGAGTGCAGTACTATCATCCAGCACAGGATCCCTCCCAAACTTAAAGATCCATGGAGTTTTGCTCAATCTTGTTCCATAGGAAATTTAAATGATATAAATTGTTTAATTGATTCAGGAGTGAGTATTAATTTAATTCCCTTACCTCTTTACAGGAAACTGGGATTAGGAGATCCTAAGGCGGCATCTATTATCCTTTAGCTAGTGGACCAATCACTGAAACACCCTTACAGAATAGTCAAAGACATTCTTATCAAGGCGGGTGAGTTTATTTTTTCAGCTGATTTCATCATCCTCGACATTGAAGAGGCATCTCAGATGCCAATAGTTTTGGGGAGGCCGTTCTTCTCTACAAGTCGAACCTTGCTAGATTTTGATGCTAATGAGATTGTCTTGAGGGTGGAGGATAAGCAACAGAGCTTCATCATGGAAAATCCAAACAAGCAACCATCATACTTTGAGGATTTTCAACGAGTTGATCATTGAGAGAGCTACAAAGGCAGGCCAAATGAAGGTGGAATTGTTGGTAGGGACAACAATGGAAACTTACTTGTGTGGAGGGTGAAAGATAAAAGAAGGAAATACAATCAATGCATAAAATGCATAGTCGAAATTTCTCTCTTCAAGCCACCATGAATAGCCAAAACAACAAAGTCTAGCTAAAGACTATAAATTAAACGCTTATTGGGAGGCAACCCAATTTCATTACCATTTATCTATTTTGTTTTCTGCATCACATTGCATATAGACTTGTTTTGATTATTAGTTTGTATTAGATTTAGGCATGTTTAAATTTATAGGGTATCTTCATCTGATCATATTTTCGCTAAGGCCCTTAAATTTAATATTGGTTATTTCAAGTGTTTGGGCTAAGTAAGACACGTTCTAGATTATTTGATCTCTAATGTTGATTTGATTGCCATATGCAGGAACATGACATCGTGGAACACTCAAACCAATATAGACCAAGGAAAAGCATGATGAGGAACATTATCCGGCCATCACCCGTAGTCTTCCACACTTAACAGAAAAATTCAAGGAGTACCTTCGTCCTTTTCTTTTTCCATCCCCTTACATTCTTGATTATGCTTTAAGACATTGAAGACAATGTCAGGTTTAAGTTTGGGGGTGGGAAAAATTTTAAGTTTTTGGTTTTCGTATGTTTTTGTGTGTTAAGTAAAAAAGAAAAAAAATTGAAATTTTTTTTTATTTTGTTAATTTTTTTTATTGTTTATGTTTGGTTGTGTGATTGTGTGGATTAGACAGTTTGGCTAACAATGATGATTAAATTTGAGATTTGATATTGATTTATGAACTGTGGATATGGAGCATGCTAGATTGATTGAAACTTAAACTTGCAAAACTTGATATTATATGCACACTAGAACTGAGCTGACATTGTGATGAAATAAGTTGATTCATTTATGTGACAGATTGATGTAACTGGACATAGATGCTTTACCCAAACTATACTAATTATCTATTTTTAGACCAAATTTAGCACAATTTGGGGATCTTACCATTGTAAGAAAATACAGATATGAATATGGATTCCTTGTGTGAAAAAATTTGTGTGGATTGTCTGAGATTAACAGGATAAAATTGGATGAAAGTCTTTAATTGGAGGTCGGTTTGCTTGAATGAGTGTGTGATAAAGAACATTGCACTGATCAAGGCATATATTTTGAAATTTGAAACTTCTCTTTGAAACCTTTATGACTCGAGCAATTAAGCCTGCAAGGGTATCTTAAAATCTGGTGTCCTAAAGTCATCAGCCTGAAGCTCGTTACAGGGGTCATTTAAAAAGCAATCAAAGATGAAGTTGCACAAAAAAAAGTTGTTCTCTTCGAAGCCTTTTTGACTCGGTTTATTAAGCCTATAAGGGTATTTGAAAATCTGGTGCCCTAAAGTTATCTGACTTAGGAGATATCGGCCTAAAGTCTGCTACATAGGTCACCTAGAAAGCTTAAGAAAGAGACAAAAAAATTAAAAAAAAAAAGGCGAAAACAATTATTGCCTTGTTAAGTCCCAACACTTGTTCAAGTGAATTTGACTTTTGACGAAGGATAATTAGTTTAATTGAGTCTTGACAATCGAAGCAATCAATTAATTGGAGAATCCTTATTCATTGATAAGTTGACTTGCAACTAGTGACGTCCACCTAAATTGGAGAGGGTAAGGATGGTAATGAAAAATTCAATCTTAAATCACATGCTGGGAAAACAGTGAAAAAGAATAAGTTTGGGGGTGTGTGAATCTTATGAGAGATGAAATGATATATTTGACCATAGAGGGTCAGAAATTGGAACAACTTGTGAATTCATTAATGTCAACTTAGTTCTTCACACACACACACACGTTAGTTTTGCATTGGGAAAGTGGAAATTGATTTGGTATTGTGACTTTGAAGCAGTTTGTAGATTTAATGCCGCGATTTCAAACCCTGAGATAAAAAACTAAACGTTTAACCAAATATTTTTGCATGCTTGTATGTTTATTGTTATTTAAGTTATAGTTTTGTTCGAGAATGAACAAAAGTTTAAGTTTGGGGGTATTTGATAAGTGTAATTTGTATATTTATTTATACCACATTATTAAACTTTTAAGTCATCAAATTATTAATTTCTATTTAACTTAGGTTAATTTTCTTTTGTTTTTAGTGAAGGACCTGTTTTGAAGAAATTGAGAAAGAAAATGATCAATTGACTATTAAATTGAAGTTTGTGGACTAAACCTCGCCGGAATAAAAGTTGAAGGATAAAAGTCGACGAAAGAATGAAGAACTTGTATTGCATGGAAGAATTGAGGACTCCAAAGAAAATATCAATCTAATTGGGCCCTTTTTTTACTAGTAGTAGGTGACTGGAATTGAATGAGAATAGGGATCCCTGGGGCCCACCGGTTATAGAGTGTGTGTGTGTGTGTGTGTGTGTGTGTGTGTGTGTGTGTGTGTGTGTGTGTGTATATATGAACGTGACTACAAATCCTGGGGAAAATTACAGAAATAAAAGGGATGGCCCACAAAACAATTGGAAGGGGTTTTTAAAGAAAAATATTGGTAGTTGCTGGAGATTATTGCATGCCAACTAGTGGGAATTACAAAGTGTTGCGACTGCCTGGAAAAGAAAATTAATTACAATAGAATTATCGATTGTTATGAATGCAAGAACGAAACTAGCTGTATATTAAGAATTTGAATAGATAATAATAGGTGGATTCGTAATCCAATGCACTCTTCCCATATACATTTTAAATTCACATTTTATACGTTTTTGTATATTAAATTTGAATAATTAAAAATAAAAAAATTACTTTTAATTTGTTCGCTTTGAATCTAATTAAGGACTAGTACACTCAGTTAAATTTTATTCCTCGTGGGACGATATTCTAACTCACTAAATCTATTACTTGTCAACGATCTCGTACGCTTGCGAGTTTCACATGAACATTAGGCTAAGAAGTTGATAGCGAGATCTCAAATCAACTTATTGATCTTATGGTATATCTCAGTATCGAGGATGATACCAACAATCTGTATTTGTTTATAAACTCTCCTGACGGATGGGTAATACCTGGAGTAGCTATTTACGATACTATGCAATTTGTGCGACCAGATGTCCATACAATATGCATGGGATTAGCCGCATCAATGGGATCTTTTATCTTGGTTGGAGGAGAAATTACCAAACGTCTAGCATTCCCTCACACTTGGCACCAATGAGTTTTTTTTTTTATTTGAGAGAAAAAAGAAGACTATGCCTTCGCCATATGAATATTAAGTAATAATAGCATGGCACTTCGAATTCTATATGCAAAATTTTTGTCTTTTTTTTTTTTTCCAAAAGATTCGATTATTTATCGAGAGAATAGTATGAGATAAAAGGTGTTTTTGATTTCTTTTATCCATTGGGAGTTCAATTCAGCGTCATAAACTTTTTTATTTTTACAGCGAAGGGCTCCTAACAATATTTATGTTATAAAAAAATAGGGCGAAAAAAAAAAGATTTTTCCTTATTTGATTGGATCAAAAAGAAACTTTGGGATTACTGAATCAAAGACAAAAAAAAGAATCAATTTTAAAATAGAAAGCAACAGAGCCATCATAGTATTTTTTTAACTCCTCTGAAAAGAAGGGTGACAATTTGATCATTTATCCATCTGGGTCTGATAGATTCTATTTTTCTTTTTCTTCAATGGAAGGTAATGGTCAATTTTATTGTAGAGCCGTATGCAATACACAAAAGAAAATGCCCATACGGTTGTTCAATTCTTTCTTTTTTCTCCTATTATTCTTTATCTTTCTTTCTTCTCTCTTCTTTTCATCACGCTAGATAGAGAACTGTTATATCATCAGGGTAATGATCCATCAACCTGCTAGTTCTTTTTATGAGGCACAAACGGGAGAATTTATCCTGGAAGTGGAAGAACTACTGAAACTACGCGAAACCCTCACAAGGGTTTATGTACAAAGAACGGGCAAACCCTTATGGGTTGTATCTAAAGACATGGAAAGAGATGTTTTTATGTCAGCAACAGAAGCCCAAGCTTATGAAATTGTTGATCTTGTAGCAGTTGAATAAAAATAAATGGATTTTCTAAAAATCCGTGATTTGAGATTTTATCTACGAGTTTAATATTCTATGAAATAGAAATAATTCATAATCATCTGGTTTGGATCAATCTAAACTAACCCATTATGTATATGATTCAACATGTCAACTATTAAACAATTTATTGGAAACACAAGACAGTCAATTTGAAATATCACAAAATCCCCCGCCCTTCAAGGATGTCCTCAGCATTGAGGAACATGTACTAGGGTGTATGTGTGACTTGTTTAGATCATGAGCTGGCACAAAAAAGCAAGAAAACCGCTTTCCAGTATCAATAATGGAAGGGTATAAATTCCACAATTGTGGCATCTATTGGCTTTCTTATAATTTGGATATGCTATTTTGGGGTCAATCTATTAGGAATAGGACTACATGGTTATGGTTCATTTACATTAACATCTAATTGAATTCAAAAGGATTCAAAAAAGACTCTTACGAATAGAAAAGTGTACAGTGCAAATGAAAAAAAAAAAAAAAAAAAAACTTTATGTGAACTGATGAGAACCTTGTGAATCAAATATTGTAGTGATTCACAGGGTTCACGCCGATTCAAATTCATTTACTTAACTTAAGAGAAGAAGCAAAAGCCTTCTTTTTTTCATTGTACAACAAATGATTAAAAACAAATTGTAGGATTTTTTTAATTCATTAAAACTATCTATAAAAAGAATTAGATAGAATAACTTCGACCTTGTCAACTGATTTGAAAGAACACAATCGGGGTATATACCAATACCTAGTATGGGTAAAAATATAGAGATTGAAAGAAATAACTCTCGCGGTCCAGAATCAAAAAATAAGAGTTTGGAGCATTAAATATCTTGTATCCATAGAACATCTGATGTGACATAGATAATGAATAAATAGGAGTTAATATCATTCCAATTACCATTACAAAAGTAATTAGTATTTTTGGCATTAAAAGGTATTTTTGACTGGTAATTAGTCCAAAAAATACTATTAATTCGGCAACAAAATCACTCATACCTGGTAATGCAAGGGAGGCCATCGAAAAGCTACTGAACATCGTGAATATTTTTGGCATTGGGATAGCTATTCCACCCATTTCGTCAAGATAAACAAGACGTATTCTATCATAAGTCGTTCCTGCCAAGAAAAAAAATGCAGCACCAATAAATCCATGAGAGATTATTTGTAAAAGGGCTCCATTGAGCCCTGTATCGGTGATAGAACCAATTCCTATAATTATGAAACCCATATGAGATACAAAGGAATAGGCTGTTCTTTTCTTTTTTTTTTTAATTCTGTTGACTGAGAGATGTTGAAGTTGCATAAATTATTTGCATTGCGCATACTATCATCAACCAGGAGAAAATATAGAATGAGCATGGGGTAATAATTCCATATTGATATGAACTAATCCATATGCTCCCCTTTTTAATAAGATTCCG